AAAATTCAAAGACAAAGTAATATAAATAAAAAATAAAGAAAAGTTTTCATCACCATCTATCTGGAAAATTGGAAAGGGACAGATAAATCGGGACGCATGTCACTTTTTTCATCATCCCTGCTTTTGATTCTTCCTATGACTTAATCCCAGTTACGAATTGAATAGTTTAAGTACAAATTTTAAATTTTTTTTGTAGATAAAGTTGCTATAATTAATGAGAGGAGCTTTTGTGTTGTAATTTAAAAATAAAAAGTATGGATTAATGCCTAATGGATTTAAAATTAATTTCATTACTATTCATATTTAAGAAACATGAAATTCTCACACACCAAATTAAAAGAATATGACTAATCTTCGCAGATTAATATATAGTATTGCCGATAGAGCTGTTAAATGAATTGATCTATTCGTGAACACAACTCGATTCGACTTATAAAAATTCGAACTCAGTTCGTTCGTTATTTAAAAGAATCGATCTCGAACAGCTAATTGACTTATTCGTGAACAATATATTTTTACTTTTTTATTCATTTAAAATGAAATGATAGAGACAAACATTTGAGAAAACCTCGTTTATAGTTTTAGGTTTATTAAAGGAATTGAGTCAAATTGGCTTGTTTATGAAACGAGTGTAACCTAAAACATGAACTATCTTGACTGGGTTCGACTTGATTAACCAACTTGTGGGTTAAAAGCTAAAGCAAATTAAAGTATTTTGTATTAGGCAAATGGACAATATAATTAATTCATGGAATTTAGAATGCCGCAATATGCAAAGCCAAAGTGCAAACTGACAAAATAGCTTGATTAATTACTAAATTGTGGGGGGTTTTAATATATGGAGATCCAAACATCATTGGGACTTGTGGGAAGCACAGCACAACAAATTGGCTGGTCGAATTTCTCAATTTCTAATGTCATAGAATCATGTGCACGTCAAAATTGAATTGACTACGAATTAGTGCAACAACATATTCAATAAACAACTTATAATTAAATTTAAATCATCGGTGTTATTTTAATTTATTCTAAGTACCTTAATTATAATCATGGAAATTCATCTAACACATGACAAAGAGTTTCAAAGCCCGAGTACGTCGTTTTATGAAAAGGGTTAAATTTATATATAGTTAAAAGGAAAATATATAATGTGTGACAATACAACAGTTATGGAACATAAAAACTTTGAGCTCTACAACATAAGTCACAATTGATTAGGCATTTCATGAGTTAAATAGTTTTTACATGGATAAACTTTGTGAGGTGGGTTTAAAAACAAAAGTATTTTGCTAAATGTTGTGATAGCATGAAACTAGCTATTCGTGAGTTCACACTCGTGAACTTGTTTAATTATACTCAATATTTATACATCTAATTAGATACTATTAATTAATCATTCTTACACATTATATCAACTAGTGGGTAGCCCGTGCGATGCACGGGTAAATAATATTAAATAATAATTATGAATTAACGATGACAGTAAATAATATTAATTAATAATTATAAATTAAATATGAGGGTAAACAATATTAACTAATAATTGTAATTAAGATGTGGAGATATTAACTAATAATTATAATTAAGATGTGGAGTTAATATATGATATAATTTATCGTATATCAGTAGCAAACAATATACATTTATCTTGTATAAAATAACATAAAAAATGTATGTTTAAAATATTAAAAACACTTAAAATATTATATAACGTATATAAAGTATCTAAAATTTTATATATCATTATTGAAGATGTTAAGTCACCTAAAATCTTTCTAAACTATTTTATAAATAAAACATGTCTAAAATTGTTTAAAAAAATCTTGCCAAAAATATGTTATTCAATTTCCAGAACATGATGATAAGTATAAGTTTGAATTTTAGAATCCATGTGATATTATTTTTTAGATCCGTGTACTATACAAATTATTCATTATGTTAATTTCCTGTGAACTTCATATTGATTTATTGATTTTATTTTATTTCAATACAAAGTTGATCGTCTCATTTTGTTTTACCATATTTTCATGGAGATTTAACAAAGTCGATCGCATTTATAAAATGATTTGGATATCGACATACAATTATATATAATGGAGTTTTCAAAATTATGTACTATTAACAAATGATATATTATCATTAATTATATTTTTTTTAAATGCACAATTATTGAGACTGATAATTTGATAATTAATTTACCTTTTGAAACTGAGTATAGAAAAAACAATAGATTGGTAAACAAATAAGTGATAAACATTACAAAGTTTATTATCACACTTTCCAAATAAAAAAAATTGTGATGATTAGTGGAAAATGATATTTAACGAATAGCATTCAATATTTTTTTTTGAAGGCATAAATATAAAGACCGATATTCTAAAATTTTTATTACCTTTTCAATTGAGATTTTATAAATATAGAGACTGAGATTTTAATGTTCTTCGTTGTTTCTGTGAAAAAATAAAATAAAAATAAAAAATGCACACTTAATAGATCTTAGCTAGAATTATTAAATAATAAAATGAATTAAAGCCAAAAATTTAATGCAACATTAAATGTTATATGATTTTTCAAAGGTAAAAATAAAAAAATAATAAAATTTACTATTTATAGGTTGCATTAAATTCTTTCCTATTTTTTTGCTACTATTTTTGTTAAATGGTAATTCTTATTATATATGTATAGATTTTATTTCACTATTCATCTACTAACATAATTTTAGTTAACTAGCTATCATTTCACATCATCCCTCTCATACTTTTAGTCTTTTACATCAAACCAACTTTAACTATTTATTTTAATATTTAAATATTATTTTAATATAAACTCAAAATCTCTCTATAACTAATCATACAATCTTTTTCAAAACTAATTATGATTGAACACAAAAGCCGATCACAATCAAATCAAATTCATATGCAATCACACCTGAGGTTCGAATATATAAATATTCATATATTTTCAACAGGTAGATTTGTTAATGTCAAGGCTCAAATTCGGCTCAAATCTGAGCTCAAGTATCAGGAATTTGAATTTGGCTTGTTCGACTTGTTTATATCCCTTTGATCTAGAGCTAAAACACGTGTCCCTCAATTTCGATTCAGACCTATCATTTTCTGTTTTCCATCTGATTCCAGTTCAAAAATCGCCAGTTTAAGATAATTTTAGTTGTCCAAAATGATCTCCATAGTCCAAGATTTCGCCATGTTCCAATAAGCAAGGCCACCGAAAAGACATTTTTGTCCTTAGCTATCGTCGTCTTTGAGTTGTATTGGCTTACAAGAAGTGTTGCACGGATAAGATTAAGAGTGTGTTCAAAGTCCATCTCTTGGAGAGCGTAAAACAAAGGTTGGAAAAGAAAACAAAGCAAGAAAACAACAAGAGAAAATTAACTTAGTTTTAAACAAAATGTTGAAACCAAATCAAACCCTCTCGATCAAGACAAACTCCTAAAAACAAAATCAATGAATTACAAAACCCTGCATGCGTATCTTGGGTTAATTTCTTTTTATGTGCTCAAGTTTTCTTGGATTAATTTAAATAATTATAAACCGTAACTTTTATGAAATTCATTAAAGAACCCATTATAGGTTAGTATATGTATTGAGTTAGTTCCATAAGACATGAAGCATTGGGACATTAGAAAAGCCATTTTGGTCCCACTTTTGGTGGNAATCTCAAATTGGTGGCTTTTTATGTCATGTAGCTTGTGTCTATATATAATATAAGCCCTTAAAAGAAGATTTTTTTTTCTTTATTTTATTTTATTTTTGTCATCCCAACCATTAATTAATTTAATTTCGTGTTGACTGAATGAATTGTTGTCTGGTCAATGAATCTCAGTGTCTGTCAGAAAGTTATCTCAATTTTGTTACAAACACCTCCAAATGGGATCAAACAATGTAAAACTTTGACTTTTGATATAACTATGTATCAGTTATAAATTCATGGTGTACAGTACTAATTTTAATAATGTAAATGTCCACTGCAACTCTGGATTTCTTTTTATACACATCAGATTTTTAATTTCTTCTGCTTTGTCTCTCTTTTTTACAGATTAAAATTTTCAATTGTTTTTTGGGTGTAAGTGTAACAGCACTAAAAATGGCAAGTAATTCGAGTTCCATTCTAATAGTAACCAATTTACTTGTACAGAATTGCCAAACTTAAATCTCGTAGAATGAACTAAACATTTATGTAACTGTTCCATTTTAGTCTTAAATAAAAATTGTGTAATTTATTGTTGCTTATTAAATTAAATTCACATAAAACAATCAAACGACATGGGCCGCTTGTTTGATCAACTAGACTTGTTAAAGTTGGAGCTAAAATGAGTCGGGTTTGAACTTGTTATTCTCGTTTAGCTAACAAAAGACTTGTTAAGGCTTGATAACACTAATTATGGTATAACCTTCTTGAACTTTTAGCATAATTTGGTTCGTTAATGAACCAAACTCTTTTACAACTCTAGTTTTATGTAATAATACAATTTTTTACGTACGAAAATCCTTTTTACACAATCTAAAAAGTAGATTGTACACAAGTGGACATTGAATCAACCAATACATATACTATCAGTTGTATAATACCAGTGTATTGCACAGATATTAATTGAAAAGAAGATCAAAATATATTTTTTCATTTCAATTATTTATTATATTATGTTTTTATATGTAATATGAATGTTAAATCGGAAGTTATCAAATAAAATTAAAAGATGATTAATTAATTAATATATCACATATGAAAATCCATAATATTAATAAATAAAAAAGAATAATTAAATTTTAAAATATTTTTATAATTTCAGAAGTTCTAATAACCATGACTAACTACATGTACTACTCTGTCATCTTTTATGCATTTACTTAATAATAATAATAATAATACTAATAATCTATTTACTTAATGACTCCAGTAGATGGCGAGTCCTATAAATAGTCTTCACCAATTAACACAACACACTTTACTATAACAAACCAAACAAAACCCAAAAAATCCCCACCCAACAATGGATGAATATTCGTCAGGCTTCTGCGTCCGGCCACCACGCGCCGGCGCCGCCGGCACGGGGACAAAGTGCGGGCGGTGGAATCCGACGAGCGAGCAGGTGAAGGTGCTGACGGAGCTATTCCGGTCAGGGCTTCGAACTCCGAGCACCGATCAAATACAGCGAATATCCTCACAGCTCAGCTTTTACGGCAAAATCGAGAACAAAAACGTCTTTTATTGGTTTCAAAACCACAAGGCCAGGGAAAGGCAAAAACGCCGCAGGGTTTTATTGCCTGATCATAATCACAATCATAATACTAATTATAATCATAATACTAATAATCACAATAATAATGTTAATTATAATTATAATAATAGTAATAATAGTTATCAGGATCCGATTATCCACCACCTTCAAGATGCTACCGCTACCGCCACCGCCAACAAGGACTCGGCAACAAAATCATGTGAGTTTTTTTTTCTTTTGTTTTGTTTTATTTTCTTTTTGTTTGTTGTTTATTATTTATTGTTTGGTAATTATCTTCTTTATTAATATTATTATTATTGTTTTTATTACTATTTTTGGATATTAAATTGCATTGCCCTGTAGTAGTTTTATTGTATTTTATCTTGTCATTGTCACCATACATAAATGCTAACTAATAATAAATGTAGTAATTCATCCTCTGGCCACCGCCCCACCGTTTGATTTCCATTTATAGATATATTTGATATTTAAAACTCATAATTTTCCATCTCGTTGCTCTCTTTTATTCTTTTTCCTAAATTTATTGGCTTGTGCATATGGAATTTGAAATTTAATTATATATACTTCCCAAAGCATAAAGTATTTATGAATGATTTTTAATTACCTCTTAATTATTATATTAAGAGTGGATAATATATTGCCTCCATAATGTGAATTTGAAAGGGGAAGAAAAAAAACCCCTAACATGAAATCAAAATTGCAGACTATCAATATTGCAAACTTTTGACCTTAATCTAAGCTACATACAGCTTTTGTTAGTTAAATTTCCACAAATCCATCTAATCTCCACTAATACAATTTACAATAAAAATGTGCCAAATTTTACCTTTTTGCTTGCATATGCTCTTTAACAAATAAATATTCATCTTTTTAATTTTATTTTTTAAATATATTTTTCCAGATTTCGGTCACGACGTAGATCGTGTCCCCGAGCCAGAAAGGTCAATCGAAACCCTTCAACTCTTCCCAATAAACTCTCTAAACGAAGGTTCGAATGATTCGGAGAGAATGAGACTTGATTGTAAGGAAAATGCATCTTTTGCTTACAACATGGACTCTCACGAAATGGATCACCCGACTTTGGACCTAAGACTAAGCTTCGTTTAGGATGATAATAATCATCCTCGCAAATAGGCGATTTGTGTTTTTCGACTTTTTTCGCCACCTTTCGAGAGGGTTCAAGGGTAGAGAGATTAATGCATGGATGATCAAGAAAATGGGGGTATTTTAGTGGTTATGAGAATATGTTGTAGAGTGGGCCGGGATTAATTTGCTTTTGTTTTTTCTTGTTTCTTTTGTTTGGTTTGTGGGTTTGGGATGTGTACAATATGTTATTGCACGTAGCTCTAGATATGGTGAATCTTAATGTGTTTTTTGACTCGAAAATGGCTAGGGACATTCATCTCATCTTGTGTTTTTCCATAATAATTGGTAGGGGTGAGCAAAATTGAGTCGAAACTGAAAAATCGAGCTAAATCGTGCCAATCGTTTCGTTATAGTTCTGTTCGATTTTTTGTTTAGTTTTGTTAATAAATTGCGGTGTGACGATAGTTTTTCATAAGTTCGATTTTTGATTTTGTTCGATTCGATGTGGTTTTGCACCTAATCACACCAAATTGAACACCAAATTAAATAAAATTTATAGAAAAATCGAGATAAAATTAAAAACAGAACCTAACTGTGCATTTCGGTGCGGTTCGATTCGGTTATTTTCGTATAAAAAAATAGGTTCGGTTTTGATGGTTTTTTTCAAGTTATGGTACCGTTAGATTATATTTTTGCTAGTATGGGTTTTTCAGTTTTTCTTTTTTTTACTGTTCGGTACAATTGTTGCTCTCTCCTAACAATTGACGCTGTTAATAATAGTTGGTCCTTTCCATTGATTTGTAGTCTTGAAATAATTTGGCACTATTTTCTAATTGTAGGCATGCCAATTCATTTTAGGTAATGTGATGATAAATAATTAAATATTGGAGAAAATTACAGTTAGTTTTATTACCCTAAATCCGTAATCCACACGCAATATCTCTACCGCTTGCCTTACAATCTTTTTTTTTATTATTATTATTATTATTATTATTATTTATTTTATTTTTTTTATTTTTTTTTTTTTGAAATNAACGGTAGATTTTATATTTCAAAGATAGAAAATTACAACCCACAGGCTAACTAGCCCGAATAGTGTGTCCAAGGACTGTTAGCTTGCCCTACAATCAAATGCCACTCTTTGGGGGAAAATTAGACAACTACCTACTATTGAACAGTACATTATAGAAAAACCAACTTCACCAATCATTTGGAGTCAGTTTATTACTGATGTTATTATGTACGAATGTTGGGCCGGAAAGTCTTTGGTTCAGTTAACCATTTGGAGTTTAATGTTTGTAAATCAAAATTGAGAGGCCCATATTATTGGGCCGGTTCAAAAACCATGTACAGCTTGGACTGCGAGTAACAAGTTTCTTATCACATTGAATAATTTGTTCGAAAATTGAATCATTATACGACGATGACAATTTCAGAAGATTTGACCATGACTGAGGTGAAGTCATTGATTTTTTGACTATTAGTATCAATATTCAATACACATATTCAATTTGATTACCACATTGCAGTCACAGATATGATGAAATCTACCCCTAATTTCTAATGTAAGAAAATTGGTATTTTTATTTAAAAGGAAGATGAGTATGTAAACCTCTTTTTTTTAAGTCAATTTCGTCCTGAGATGGTAACCTCTTTTTTTGATAATATGTTATACCACCAACACTTTTTTTATTTTCGCATGCTTATTGTATTTGGATAATTGGATAAATTAATAATATGTTATTCCACCTAACACTTTTTCATTTTGGCATGCTTATTCTATTTGGATAATCGGATGAAGCAATAATTAAGAAGATAGGCGACAAATTAATTTGGTATAATCTATACATATATAATAAGAACTAGTACGACACCCGTGTACTACACGGGTTGTTTGAAAAAAAATATAAAACAATAAATAATAGAAAAAACACCTATTGTCGTATAAAAGTGCAAAAATAGAAAACAAAAATATTCATGCTCTATATAATTTGACAAAATTAATGAAAACCCAAAGTAAAATTTTATATTAAATTAAATTATTTTAGTTTAAAAAAATTAATATTTTTTACATATGCTTCCTAATTCAACACCCGTGTATTTACATGGGTATTTGGTTTAAATATTTTTTTTCAGGCTTGCTGGATTAGTGAAAAGAAAATTGACTGTTGAGATAAATGCAAAACAAAAGACTATATTTGATCATCTTGTATATCTACAGGGAAAAACAAATCTAACTCTATAAGCATAATCAGTCATACCAAATTAAGGATTTTCTAGAAATTTCTTAAACATAACGCAGATGATAAAATGCATTGTTGACATGGCCAGAACCAACACAAACAAATTACAATTCAAGGAGAGGCAATAATAATAATTTATCTATATATATACTGACAATAATTGATGTAATAACTCGAATTATAATGTCTATAGCTCATATGATAATAATCGGAAGGGGCATACGAAGGATAAGGTGCTGAATTGAAACCACCATGTAACTTTTTTATCTAAGACACAAATCTCCATTACAACACGATTTTCAGGTGGTTCTTGTCATGTTTGAACCATAATGCTCAATTGTGTTGAAAACAGTTGTCATGGTAAATTCAATTTCTGTAAGATGAATAATTGAGATGAAGGGGCTATGAGAATGAAGGGGGATAGTGATTTAAATAATGTAGAGAACTTTGTCAAACCGATTTCGGATTAAGCAAATACACGGCATTTCAAATTTATTATACACGACATAATAAGAATAAGAAATATGCAACAATCTTTAGAGTTCGATTTTTTTTTTATATATATATTTAAACAGGCGGTGATAGTTTAGATCCGTGTATTACATATGTGAATTTTGGATAAGAATAAGTGATTAAAAAAACTTTTGAAGGAATTAAAATAAACTATGATAAGAATGGGAATCCTATTTGGAAGAGATAAGAATAAGAATCCTATTTGGAGTTGGGGTCCTATTTATTTTGGAATATAATTGTATTATTTTTATCCGAATCAAAAGTCGAAACATGTAATGTTGCCAAGTAAGCTTCCGAAGCGTGCGAACCAGCCATTTAGGCTCAGCACGTTTTGAAATTATATTAAGGAGGGATATGCGTTATATTAATTAAATTTTCTACCTTATAATATATAACTACATTAAACATAAATATATTAATTGATGAATAATTTTATTTTCTAATTAATTTTAATAAATAATTCTATTATTATTATAAAGATAAATATAATTTATTTATTTTATATATACAATATGGATGTCAAATCGAAGCTCATCAAAAGATGATTAATTTGATATATTATATATGTAAAACCGATAAGAAATACAAAAGTTATCAACTTTTAAAATATATTTGCAATTCAATGGTAATAATAGTAAATGATATTGAAATACAATTAATACAAATATTAATTTATATCCAAGCCTAACTCCAAAGCATAATTTTTTGTCAAATAAGATTCCGAAGCATGAAAATTTGACACGTAGGCTCAGCGTATTCTGAAATTATATATAGAGGGGATTACCATTTAACAAAAATAGTAGCAAAAAAATAGGTGAGAATTTAATGCAACCTATAAATAGTAAGTGTTATTCTTTTTTTATTTTTATCTTTAGAAAATCATACAACATTTAATGTTGCATTAAATTTTTTGTTTTAATTCATTTTATTATTTAAAAATTCTAGCTAAGATCTATTAAGTGTGCATTTTTCATGTTTATTTTATTTTTTCATAGAAACAACGAAGAACATTAAAATTTCAGTCTTTATATTTATAAAATTTTAATCCAAAAGGTAATAAAAATTTTAGAATATCGGTCTTTATATTTATGCCTTTCAAAAAAAATATTGAATGCTATTCTTTAAATATCATTTTCCACTAATCCTCACAATTTTTTTTTATTTGGAACGTGTGATAATAAACTTGGTAATGTTTATCACTTTTTTTTTTTACAAATCTATTGTTTCTTCTATACTCAGTTTCAAAAGGTAAAATAATTATCAAATTATCAGTCTCAATAATTGTGCATTTAAAAAAATATTTAATGATAATATATTATTTGTTAATAGTACACAATTTTGAAAACTCTATTATAGATTGTATGTTGATATCCAAATCATTTTATAAATGCAATCGACTTTGTTAAATCTCCACGAAAATATGGTAAAACAAAATGAGATGATCAACTTTGTATAGAAATAAAATAAAATCAATATGAAGTTCACAAGAAATTAACATAATGAATAATTTGTAATACTCACGTGGATTCTAAAATTCAAACTTATACTTACCATCATCTTCTAGAAATTGAATAATATATTTTCGGCAAGATTTTTTTAAATAATTTTAGACATGTTTTATTTATAAAATAGTTTAGAAAGATTTTAGGTGACTTCACATCTTCAATAATGATATATAAAATTTTAGATACTTTACATATGTAATATAATATTTTAGGTGTTTTTAATATTTTAAACATACATTTTTTATGTTATTTTATACAAGATAATTTTATATTGTTTACAACTGATATACGATATATTATGTCACATATTAACTCCACATCTTAATTACAATTATAAGTTAATATTGTTTACCCTCATATTTAATTTATAATTATTAATTAATATTATTTGCTGTCATCGTTAATTTATAATTATTATTTAATATTATTTACTCGTGCATCGCACGGGCTACACACTAGTTGCATTAATAATAAATGTAAAAAGTCTAGACACGATTAATGTTAGAAGTGCACGTTACCGTTGCGCAAAATACTACGGGCTAGCCACTTCATATATATAGACTTAACCTGTGACAGCAAAAATTGCGCCTTACTTTATTGATCGATTAAGGAGCATAAAAGTATTTGTTAAAAAGTGAAAATAATCTTACAGGTTAAAGTTTGTAAATATGGAATAGTGCAATGATATTGAAAGTGGAGAATAGTATTATTTACAGAAGATATATAACAAGGTAACTATTTTTTATTTTTATTGTATTTG